TGATTTTCTACGAATATACGAATGTCTGTCCCCTTTTCAACGTTTCGCTCTCCCTCTTCTTCAGTGGCTTCTACATCATCTTAGGTCTTCACTGCTCTTTGTATGATTTCTTAGTATTTTTTCCTCCAAAGTTTACACCTTTTTGGTTTCTCCCTTCCTAGCATTTTGACATTTGACATTGTTTACTTACTTAGCGATGTAATGTCAATTTATACGAATTCCTATGATTTTATCTTTTACCGTATATTTGTCTCCTCTTTCCGTCTGCCTGTCCTTTTATCTGTATTTTTGTCTATCTTTCCGTTTGTCTACCTAAGATCCTTTTGACCATTTTGCACCTGGTGACATGCCGCCGAGACTTAGGTCCTTTTGGCCATGTCGTAGGACAACGAAACGTGACGAAACGTAAAGAAACGTAACGAAACGTTACGAAACGTAACAAAACCATCTTTTTCTGTTTGATCTATGGACTTAAGAATCGGACCACGTGATACACGCTAAGGCCCTTATGGCATTGCGCATGATTTTTATATTCAACGTTTATCATTCTCTACGTAATGTCGTTTTTCCCGTTTAAATCAGACCAACGATAGCTGAGATATACGCTAATGCCCTTCTGGCTTTACGCAAAAATTCTCTTGTACGTTAATCTATACCACGATCTCTACGTAATGCCGTTTTTCCCGTTTAAATCGGACCAACGATAGCTAAGATATACGCTAAGGCCCTTCTGGCTTTACGCGAAAATCCTATTCGACGTTAATCTATACCACGATCTCTACGTAAGGTCCTTATGGCATTGCGCATGCTTTTTCTTTTACACAGGTTTTTGGACTAGGGTGCTCCCAAATATTTAAATTTTCGGTATTCTCTACATAACCTCGTTTTTCTCGGACCACGTGATACACGCTAAGGTCCTTATGGCATTGCGCATGCTTTTTCTATTCGACAACGTCAAACGTCAACCGTTAAACGTCAGTCGTCAAACTTTTCGGTGCACATACCCCCATTTTTCCCATTTAAATCGGACCACGTGATACACCCCAGCTAGCACAAAAACATCCCATCTACGTTAATAAGCTGCAATTTTAGGCTCTTACACTCGCATGCAATGTACCGTAAACGTAACCCTATTATCCCTGCAACTACCGAATGTCCGCAACTGCAAGCCTTTTATAGCACATCTCGTAGAAGTTATAAAGTGAAGTTCGGAAAACATCACACTAGCACTTTTACGGTACTTACCCCGAAAGTTGCTCTGAAACGTTCTATTGATGTTATAATGTGAATTAGATCTACAGCATTATACAGTGTGTCCACGGATGGGCTTAACTATACTTGTGAAAATATTTATTTTAAATTAAAAAAGTAATTCTTCATAATTTCTTGCTTGTTAAATAAATTCGATTCACATTGAGAAATTATGAAAAATAACTTTTTCTTTAATTTAAAATAAATATTTTTACAAGTATAATTAAGTCCATCCATGGACACACATTGTGTAATGTAATACAGAGAGGCTGAAATTGAGGCTATAGTAAAATCTCAATCGAGACATGAAAATTTCAAATAAAACAAAATATTTATATAAATTTATTATTAAAATGTTCTTGAAATCAAGTACCAATAGCACAAAAGTAGAGGTAGGTGTAGGCGTGTTCTTTTATTCAGTGCTGTATCCAGCGCTTGCAGCAAACCGTTCGTAAATTAAGTGATGGAAAGACGATTGTATGTGTCAATCATTCTTTTTTCCAGCGGTGAGTTCACCAATGAGCCAAGGCATCCATCGGCTTTAAAAGCCGATGGATATGTGATAGACGAATGGTGAGGATAATCAATCATATAAGTTAACCTAAAATATAAGAGTTCAAATATAAAACGACTGCAGAATAGATAAATTACATCAATCACTGATAGAACAATTATTGAATAAAAGAACACACCTTATATCACAAACACAAGTACACATGTGGGATAGAAGAAGCTACCTAGAAAGCACTGAACGATTGGACAAAATTAGCTAAATAGTATAATAAGGTACCAATATTGCAAAGGTTCACTAAAACCTTAAATGGTGAACGATGATAAAGCTAGATTGGTGAAAAATAATAAACGAATACAACAATGACTAGGTACATATTATTATATTAGATTACTAGAGGATAGCTAAGTTCGCTGATTTCTTACCTAAGACGCAGAGATATATCTTTTTTAAATCAAGCCTTTTAACTTTTTTTGCATAGATATTTATAAAGTGCTATAATGTAACCTAAATATGACAATTTATTAGAAGAGAATAAATTATATTTTTATATAAAAAGATTTTACTTCTCAATACATTGAATAAAAAAGAAATTGATAACTTGTTTACCTATTATTAATTAAAGGAAATTATATAGAAATTAAAAAATATGCCTTACTTTGTTGTTTTAAATAAAACAACCAATGTTAGTGTATTGAAATTTGTTTGAATTTTACAAATTTTATGCTTGATTTCCAAAGTAGATATATCGATGGCTCAATCAAAAAAGGCCACAAGTCAAAAAACAAAGCAATTACATTTTTGGTTCAATGGATGGTAAATATCATTACGGTTTTACTTTAAATACCACCACAAACAAAAATATCCTTAAAGATAAATCATTTAAAATGTAGCCACAAACTGTGTCTAAAACTGCCTCAATTCGAGTTATTTTCTTCAAAAACACCCAAATTTTTTACAACTATGCAACAACTCACTTTTATAATCGTAATCATTTTATTTAACAGCAAAATATCGAAGCTTTTAAATAAAATAAATGAAATTTCTCGAAATAATAGTATTTTAGTTGTGGCAGTATTTGATTGAGCCATCGATATGTAGATTTTATAAAAAACAACTGGTGTTTTTTAGCAAGATATTCTATATTATACTTGAGAGTATCATCTATGATTTCTTTCAACTTTTCTGCTGGGTTTTCACTTGAAATGATGGTTGCATTTCCAGGCAATCTAGCCTGTTGAAGAGAATGAACTGCTTGAATTCTGATATACCTGACATATCATATACCTATAGATTCACTTTTTATAAAACTTCAGGTGTTATATTCTTCTTTACACTTCTGTAGTATTTACTTTTGCTTCTAAAATTCCTAGAATGTCGAAGGAAACCTAAAAAATAATATTTTTAAAATGTATTTTTAGTTCGATAAAGTATAATTACCTTTTATAAGTATTTGGTGTAAAATGTTGCCGGACATTCGGTTAAATGTTTATATTCTGGTTTACAACGATTGATCTGCAATTCTTTGTTTTTATTGTAGTTTTTTTTTATTTGGTGTCATCGGCATCGACTGCTAAAGATACTTAATGAATGAAATAATAAATTTACATCAGGCATTGTAATCTGAAACAAAGACAATGGTTTAGAAAATAGTTATCTATTTTATAGAGGACCCTTACCAAATCTATTCGAATGTATAAATAATAATTATTTATAAAATAAATTCTGGATGTCGAAAAATAAACCATTAAAAAAGACAATTGACAAGAAAAACTGACAAGTGACATAAAACTAAACGTTCTGAATTCAGATTTGTAATGTTTACGGTAGGTTAACTAGGTAAATAACAAATAGAAGTTTTGCGAGGTTTTGATTTCCCTCAACAACTTCTCATGAACGTTGCATTTACGTTGTATAGTAATGTTATTACGTTCCCTTAATGCAACATCGCCGAAAGGCTTGGCAACGTTATGTGCTAGCTGGGACGCTAAGGTCCTTATGGCATTGCGCATGATTGTTCTCTTGTATGTTAATCTATATCACGCTTTCTACATAACCCCCTTTTTCCCGTTTAAATCGGACCACGTGATACACGCTAAGGCCCTTGTGGCATTGCGCATGATTTTTTCTTTTCGATGTCAATCTATATCACGCTCTCTTCATAATGCCGTTTTTCCCATTTAAATCGGACCAACGATAGCTGAGATACACGCTAAGGTCCTTTTGTCCTGTCATTGCGCATGATTTTTTCTTTTCGATGTTAATCTATATCACGCTCTCTTCATAATGCCGTTTTTCCCGTTTAAATCGGACCAATAGCAGTGAAGATATACGCTAAGGCCCTTTTGGCTTTACCACTACGCAAAAATTCTATTCGACGAAATTTAATCCCCCCACTACCCCGTTTTCCTCTCAGACCGTCTGTCTCACTCTTAGCCATTGAATATGTACCTCTCACTCTTACACGTTGAATTCCCTATGTGGTGCAGAACATAGCTTGTCTATCTACTGTGGGGTTTTTCCGGAGTATCCTCATCTATAATTCAAATGACATCTGTAAGTTGCCTCGGAGAGCCATGGAAAATAATAATAGTCATCCCTCACCGGGTACAAACAACTCTGCATTCAGAGTTGCAAGGATCACTCATAATGGGTTAAATTATAAAAATATTATTATTAGACTAAAGAAAGGATGAGTTACAAAAAAGAAACAATCCTTTGAACTTCCAGAAAATCGTCGTGGAGAACTTTTTCAGCTGAATAAAGAGAACCTATAAATGTTTATATTTTGTATCGTTTTGAATAATAACTAATCCTTTTATTGATATTCCAAGGATATAAAAGACCTCTGTTGCACGATAGGTTATCCAGAAAAGGCATTGCCAGAGACATAGGTATACCCTGGAAACTAAATTCCTTTCTTCCCTAAAATTTTAAGCCACAGGCTTATTATTTAACCTCATTGACAGGTCATACCTAATGCCATAATAATCCAACTTTAACGATTTGATATCGAATCGACTACTCGTTAAACGGAATTGCTTTTGTGAAATTTGATATCAAATTCGAGTCGAATCGTGAAACGGAATCCCACCTCTGATGTCAGTTCTTCAGTTTTATAATAGAAATTATACGTTCATGTTATCAGCTGTACAGTTGAATTGTAAAAATTGAGTTACCAAAAACCTGCGAAACAATATGTCAACCTTATTTAACACAAAATATACTAAAAATAAATAATTACAAGTTTTTAATTGTTTGTATTAGTTTATATACAATTAATATTAACACAACTATTTTTTAATCCAATTATCCAGCTACAGAGCTACCACTTTGGTGTCTATAGCAAAAATCTCTTCCTGGCAATCGGGCGAGTTTACATGGAGTGCCCATTCTCGTCCTAGATCTACAGCTAATTTTTAAACTAGAATTAAGCAATAAAGGAGTCCGACTTCTGCTCCTGGAAACAGATCTTGGAGAATAGTGACCATTTCTTGACTCTGGTGGAGTAAAATTGAAATCCTGAAAAGTGTCGGCATTTTCATAGTCGTCCTCATTATAGGATGTACTGGAGGTAGGATGCTGGTTATTTTTTGAGACTTCTAATATAATGGTTTGGGGTGGTGTAAAATGTTTAGTAGGTGTCCTATTTTTCCAAACTATTGGACCTATTACACTGGATTTGATAGGTGATGCCCATAAAATTAATGCTTGAGCTAAAAAAATTAATATTAATTTAATATAATATGATATATGATATAAATATATGTAATAGTAATAAAAAAAATAACAATAATAATAAGGGGTGGGTGGCTCAGTGGTAGAGTCTCTACCTGTGGATCCAAGGGATTTTTTTGACACCAAATTAAAAAAAAACAATAATAATAAATAAGCTCTCCTATTAGCACGTAGTTAATCATTCTATCAATTATTTTATATTTCTCTTTACATTTTAGTTATTAACCAATGATAATTTTTTAATAATATCAAAGCTATTCTGCTGATAACAATTCAATCTTCCTTATTAATTTTATATACAGTGTGTGCCTTTATGTACAAAACTTATACATCTGATTGACATTAAATACCCCTCTTACTATTTGTGTATCTGGATCTTTCAGAATGTAACTGTTTATTCCATTTACATTATTTACAACATAGTGGCATTTGTAATTTGGCACACTTATTATCATGCCTATTTGGAATTTTTAATGCCTTAATTAATATTTAATCCCCCTTTTGAAAACCATAGGATGACCTCGTAGAGCTTTAAATTTTTTTTAATATATCGATCTCCAACTTCTTTTATTTTTTATTTACTTGTTCGATTAAGATATCATATTTTTTTACTTTTCAAGTATCCATGGTCTAACAAGAAATACCTTTTTCATTAATAGTTGGGCGGTTGTTCTGTCACAGTACTTGCTGTATTGTTTATAAAATTTTCAATACTTGATAATCTTTCTTCCCAATTTTGATGTTGACTGTGTGTCAATATTATCAAGTATTTTACAACTTCTCTTATATTGATGAATTTAAAAGTGCCTCAGCTACGTCGGGAATTAGAAGAACGTGAACTGGAGACGACAGGGAAGAAATCAGAGCTGACAGAACGACCTTAAAAAGCACTAGAAAATGAAGGTTTGGATCCAGAAACGTTTCTATTTTCGGATGATGAGTCTGCTATAATTTCTTCAATTTCTTCCGATATGGAAAGTAAAATGTCAATTTTAAAAACCGATATTTCTTCCATGGAAACTAAAGTTTCTTTAGATGTTTCCTCCATAAAAAATGTTATTTCCTCATTAGAAACTAATGTTTCTTCCAACATTTCCTCTTTAGAAAATAAAGTTTAGTCTGATATTTCTTCCTTAGAAGAAAAGGTGTCTTCTGATATGACTTCCGTTAAAAACGAAATCTTTTCTTTAGAAACTAAAGTTTCTTCTGATATCTCTTCTTTAAAAGATGAAATTTCTTCCGATTTGGAAAACAAAATTTCTTCTCTGAAAAATGAAATGTCTGTTGATGTGGAAAATAAGATGACTTCTGTTGAGGAGAAAATAAAAGAGATGGAAAAGAAGAGAAGAACTAGAACATTCAGAACCGGTCAAGGACGGTGAAATAAAGTGCCATGAGGTGGAGTCGAAGTTAAAATTGGAAGGAGCTGTAAACTCTGCGCATTTTAATGCACCAACCTTCGACAGAAAGATGTCAAGGACCAACTAGCTTAAACAGTTCGAGACAGCTGCGAGGGCAAACGAATGGTCTGAGAGAGAAAGGCCGTAAAACTGACAATCGCCCTTCGAGGAGACGCTTTAGATGTTCTTCAGACTATACCTGTGGAAGACTGATGATGCGATATGGCCACGAACACTTGGATCATTTATACCAGGCACAGTTAAAGAATCGCAAACAGAAACAAGACGAGACTCTTCAAGAATATGAAGTGTATATTGCCAGGTTGGTGCGATTTGCTTATCCATCAGCTCCCGAAAACATAATGGAATGTTTAGCAGTCCAAACATTTGTTGATGGACACCGTGACCACAAGATGCAAAAAACACTTCGCTTAGCCCGCCACAAAACATTGGTCGATGTCTTGTCCGCTACTTATGTATAAGGCAGCTACGCAGGCTTCTGGAGGATACAGTAAAGTGAAAACTGTAAAAGAAGAAAACGTAGAAAATAAACTCGACCAACTAGTTAACATAATGAAGCGCTTTACTGATAAAAAGATAAAGACAAAGACCATCAGGTGCTGCAATTGCGGTGAACTGGGACATGTACACAGTTCGTGCAAACGCCCTAGGGTCCCAACAACTGTAGACAGCACGCCGCAGGAAAACTAGAGCAGATCGGCCTAGAGGGGGCAGCTTCGACTCGAAACCGTTCCAAAGACCCTCTCATACTGATAGCCTCTTTGAAATGTCGCGATGATAGTGTATACGTAGACGGCGAAGTAAATGGTAAAAAGTATACACTGTTGGTGGATACTGGAGCAACTAGGACCATTGTACGATCAACAACCATAAATAACCGTAAGAGGCTCCTACCAACAAGACTGCGACTACGAACTGATACAGGTGAAAGTGCCAACATCCATGGAGAAATCCAGGTTTAATTGAGAATTGGTATAGAAAAGTTCACTCATACTGTTATTGTCGCTGATATCGAAGATGTTATTCTTGGAATGGATGTAATGAACTTACATAGTTTCCAGTTGGACTTTAAGAACAGAGTGATCAAAGTTGGTGCCGAAGAGGTATTCCATACATCCATATGGGGACAGTACCGTTCCAGCTGCTGTACAGGAGGATACAGTGGTACCTGGCAGAAGTGAAACTGTTATAGTAGCACGTCTTCAAAAAACTATGAAAGAAGGAACACCTGTCATGATGGAACCTTGGAACCACGTCGAAGAGGTTGGATGAGGAATTCTGATCGGAAAGGGGTTGGTCACTACTGCTAAAGAGATTCCAGTTCGTCTTATAAACGTTAATGATCACCCACTTACCATCAAGAAAGAGAGCAGAATCGGAACTTGTGTACCAGTAACTTCCATAATTCGTCAGATAACAACTTCTGATAATTCCAACGACAAATTTGAGCAAATGATTGCAGTTGCTGGCCAATCTCTGAATCAGTTAGAGAAAAAGAAAATAAAGGAATTTCTTCGACGATATCGTGACTTTTTTGTACCAAAAGGAGGAAAAACAGGAAGACATTGGTGACGCCAGGCCGATTCATCAATCAGCTCGAAGATTACCAAAGGCAAGAGAGAGGAAACTGAACGGATTGTTCAGGAAATGAAGGACTACGAGGTTATGTGTGGATTACCGTCAGTTGAACAATGTTACCAAGAAAGACAGTTACCCTCTGCCTCGTATCGACGATACCTTGGACACAAAGAAAAGAGAGAGAGAGAGAGAGATATGCTTTATTGTCGTAAAAAAAATTATTTACAAAAATTTTATAGACAAAGCGTGTAACTTAAATACTAAACATATTATAAAAATAACTAAACAGCAGAAAAAACAAACAGAAACAAACAGACAAAATAGGAATAACAATTGCAATGGATATGCAATATCCGTCAATATAATTATTCTAATTTAATTTTTAAATTTAAATTTAAACTTTAATATTTATTTAATATTTATTATTTTAATTATCAAATGTCTAAAGTACGTTATAAAATTCTGCTACTGTGTAATATGGTCTTTCTAGAAGAAAAGCTTTAGCCAGTCTTCGGAACTTATCGTATGTATTTATAGATTTTAATTGCATCGGAAGGTTATTATACAATTTTTTGGCATTGTAGGTAATGGAATGTTTTAATAGGTCAGAAGTGGGCATTGTTAAATAAACATCAGTCTCTAAATTTCTTGTAGGATATCTACGAGTCGGTCTTTCGGATAAATTTTGAATGTGCTTGCGAACTAAGCAGACGGATTCGAAAATAAATAGAGCAGGAAGGGTTAGAATTTTGAAATTTTTGAAGTAATTTTCGCAATGTGTCCTACTACTTAAACCAAATACATAGCGGATTGCTCTTTTTTGCAGTTTAAAAACAGCTTTTACCACCGGATCTGGATTGTGGCAATTCAATGTTATGCCATTTGGATTATGTAATGCCCCCGCGACATTTTAGAGAATTCCGATTTTTTCAAAGTGGTAACATAACGACTGACCTTGGTCTGAGCCACTTGCTAGCTAGCAACTGCATGATACAGAATAGACTACTATCATGGAAAACGTGCCTGGTATATTTAGATGGCATTATAGTCTTTGGGAAGACATTTGATGAACATCTTAAGGACTTAGAAGACTTTTAAAAGACTTCAAGCTGCCCAACTGATGCTAAACCCCAAGAAGTGCCAACTATTCCAAAATAAAGTTAATTACCTGGGTCATGTAGTCAGCAAGGATGACGTGGCTGTAGATAAGGAAAAAGTCGCTTCTATCAAAGAGTGGCCACAACCAAAGTATAAACACCAAATAAGAAGTTTTCTTGGGTTTTGTACGTACTACTGAAGATTCATAAAGAAGTTTGCAGATATTGCTAAATCACCAACGCGACTCTCAGAAGAAGCAAGAGAATTCTGCTGGGACGAAGACTGCCAAACTGCCTTCGAAACTTTAAAGAAGCATTTAACAACAGCAACAATATTAGGCTACCCACTATCAGAGGGAGAATTCATCCTGGATACTGATGCCAGCAATGTGAGAATTAGAGGAGTGCTTTCACAGATTCAAGGGGGAAAAGAAAGTACTGGGTTATTTTAGTAAGGTGCTCTTGAAACCTGAGCGAAATTACTATGTCACAAGAAGAGAACTCCTGGCAGTTGTTAAATGCGTGGAACACTTCTACCAATGCCTATATGAAAGGAAATTCTTAATCCGTACCGAGCATGCCGCTCTTAAGTGATTGATGCAGTTCAAAACCCGGAGGGTCAAATCGCCAGATGGATTGAACGACTTCAAGAGTACGACTTTAAGATCGAACATAGAGCAGGAATAAGCCACAGAAATATCGATTCTCTTTCTAAAAGATCGTGTCCAGCAGAGTGCTCCCACTGCAACAAAGCGGAATCCAAAGAAAGTGGACTACTAATAACAACTGTAGTCAACGATGAGTGGGCCTCTGCTAAAATTAGGGAAGAACAAGAGAACGATACCGTTTTAAAGAACATGCGACAATGGAAAGAGGAAAATC